CTCCTCTCCTCTCCTCGCCTCCTCTCCTCTCCTCTCCTCTCTTCTCCTCCCAGCCCCAGGTGGGCTCCTCTCCACCCATCTCCCCAGACCAGCCAGCTTGTCTGCCTGTGAGGGGAAAGTCTTAAGCTGTCCCATTCTTCCCCATTTAGTTCAAATTGCTCCCGAGAAGTTTGAGGGCTTCTAGGGTGGGGGCCCCCAATACCCTGCCTATCTCAGCGTGCAGAGTGGCCCAGAGACAAGCTCTCTGCACCTCCATGCCCTCATCACTGAGGTCTGGCCTGTGAGGCAGGGCACTCTGGGACATCCCCAAAGTGACGTGCATTGGCCAGCCCGGGCTGGGGTGTGCGAGGCCCAGACTGCCCCTCTGGACCCCTGGGCTGCTGGACTCCGGACTAATGCTGCTCTGAGGTGGGATAGGACGCCGGGCAGGCAGGATCACGGCACCTGTCTCCAGGGAGGGCAATGTCCACCCTCCGAGACCAGCCCGTCCACCCGCCCCCTCTGGAGTGCCTGGCTCTGCCCTTGGGCACCCCCTGGCTTAGCACACGGGGCGGGGACACCTGGATTTCTCTGGCCTCCTGAGTGGGGCCAGCTTGGAGGAATTTCCCAAAGCCTATTAGAGCACCGGCTGCCTCCCGCCTGCCTCCCCGGGCTGGGCAGGGCTGAGGGCGGAGGGAGAGAGCGAGGGAGGGGGAGAGGAGGAAGAAAAAGAGTTGGCAGGCCGACAGAGCCGTGTCTACATCCATCCCGAGAGGAGGCCCGTGTGGCGTGGGGCGGGCCGGCGCGAGGAGAGGCCTTCCTCCCTTTGTGCTCCCCCCGCCCCCCCAGGCCTATAAATAGGCCCAGCCCGGGCTGTGGCTCAGCCCTCGGAGGGAGTTGAGCACCAGGCAGCAGTCTCCAGCCAAGCCCCCTGCCAGCATGGCCAGCGAGTTCAAGAAGAAGCTCTTCTGGAGGGCGGTGGTGGCCGAGTTCCTGGCCATGACCCTCTTCATCTTCATCAGCATCGGCTCTGCCCTGGGCTTCAACTACCCGGTGGGGAGCAACCAGACGGCGGTCCAGGACAACGTGAAGGTGTCGCTGGCCTTCGGTTTGAGCATCGCCACGCTGGCCCAGAGCGTGGGCCACATCAGTGGCGCCCACCTCAACCCGGCCGTCACGCTGGGGCTGCTGCTCAGCTGCCAGATCAGCATCCTGCGGGCCGTCATGTACATCGTGGCCCAGTGCGTGGGGGCCATCGTCGCCACCGCCATCCTCTCGGGCATCACCTCCTCCTTGTCCATGAACTCGCTCGGCCGCAACGACGTGAGTGGGGTGGCCCCAGGCTTGGGGGTTCTGGAGCAGTGCTGAGAGGGCACTGGTCCCATCCTCTGCCCATTGTGCAGATGGGGTCACTGAGGGACAGAGAGGACGAGAGGTTGCCGGAGGTCATGTAGAGAGTTGGGGTCAGAATTGGGGCTGGAACTCTGCTATGTCTGCAGCCCAGAGCCTGTTTCCTGCCAGGCACTGTGGGAAGCTGAGATCCAGAGAATAATGGTCTTGCCAACGTCCCCTGTGGGCATCTGTTGTGGGGAATAAGCTTTGGAGGCAGCTAACATGTGAGGCGGCAGCTTGCGGCTCTCAGCGGTAGTTTCTTGACGCTGCTCAGCGCTGCCCGTGCAGCCAGCTCGCTCCTCCTGCAGCCGTGCACCCCGGGGAGATTTTGCCCGCCGTCCCAGCCACCCTGCGCCAGATGCCCAGCATGTCTGCGGCCAGTTCTGCAAGTGTGCGAACAGGACTCCCTCCCGGAGCCGCCCGGGCCTCCAGGCAACGCCCCATATTCACACAGGTTCCCAAACAAACCGCCCCCCAGGAATCAAGAAAAAAGTCCCCTCCCAGTCCTTGGCCCCTGGGAGTTGGACAGAGATAAGGGCGTGAAGGCGCCGGCTGGAGCTGTTCGGAGGTGGTTTCGTGGGTTACAGTGTGGGCTGGGGGCGAGGGCTGGGCCCGCTTCCGGGCACCGAGAGGTATGGCGTCTGCGTGTGTGTGTGAAGGGGTGCGCGCGTTGGCTGGCTCGGGTCTCTGGGCTTGTGCGAACCGTGTGCACGTTGTGCTGCCGTGTGAGGGTGCGGGGGCGAGTGTGCGACTGCATGTGCCCACGGCTCCTGGCTTGAGTGGGGTCTGGGCTGGGGTCACTAATGACAAGCAGATGTTGGTGACTGGGTGGCAGCTGCTGAAACGAATTCCTCCTGGGCTGCTTAGCACAGCTAATTGGCCGTTGGCGGCAGCTGCCCGCTGTCGCGGACCTGGGCTTTTCCAACTCCTCAGCCAAGTGCAAGCTCAGACTGTGCTTGGGCCACAACAGGGGGCAATTTGGCCTGAGAGGCTGGGTACGGCTTGGAGGAGGTCTCAGAGGGCCCAAGTGACAGGCCAGCAGGCTTGTGGACGTCCTCTCGGGGAGGGAGCGAGGCCAAGGAGCAGAGAGGAGGAATCAGCTCTAGAGACACGAGGCTGGCGGGGCCCTGGCAGGGCAGGCAGGTGTGGGGACGGTGCCAGAGCCTGCGAGGGCTCCTTAGAGATGGCAGTGGTGATTACAGCCGCCGACTTCCCTTGTCCCAGCCAAAGTTCAGTTCCTGGGGATGGCAGCGAGGGGGCCGGGTGCAGGTTGGTGCAGAGGGCAGCTGGCCTGGCCCTGCTGAGGGGCTTAGCACTTCTCGTGTCACAGTGACACCTACCCAGCCCCCTTTGGAGCCAACCTCTACTCAGCCTGAGATTGAAGATTAGCCCCGTAGGCTGGAGTTTAGACTTTAGCGGGGGAAGATGTGGCTGAGTGCATGTAAGGGACAGAGCCCAGGCAGGCCACATTCCTGTCCCTGGTCTCAGTCTCTTCAGTGGGGCAGAGCTGGTGGCCTCAGGGGACTCCCCCAGGATTGGGTCAAGTTCACACTGGGGTTTGGCTGGGCACGATGAGGGTGGGGAAGGGTTCCCATAGGGGACAGGTTGAGACTCCCAGGCCTTCTGGCCCCATCTTGTTCCTCCCATCTCAAGGGACGGACCCTGTGCACCTGCTGGCACAGGCTTTGCACTCTCTGCTATGGGCATCCCAGGCCGAGGCGGGAGGGCGGGGCCCCTTCAGTGCCATCTGGATCTGGCCACACCCTGCTCTGGTGCCCCGTTCCTTCCCTCGCCTCCATTTCCCAGAGCCACCCTGATATCTGGGCTGGGCAGGGCAGGTTGCAGAGGGGGAGAAAGAGGAGCAGCCTAGCATGGGCCCAGCCCCAGGCCGGGGGCAGGTGCGGGGTTCAAGGGTGTCTGCTGCTGGCTCCTGGCCCTGCCCCGCTAGCGGCTCACTTTGTTGCCTTGGGCTTATCGCCCATCCCTGGGGCTGGCTGAGAGGCCCCCGAGGGCAGGCCCAGGAGCGAGCTAGGCACTGTGGGGGCTCGGGCACTGCCCTGTCCAGACAATGGAGGTCTGGGGTTCAGGAGCACAGCCTGGGCCTAGAAACAGAGAAGGTGCCCCCTGAAAGGGCTCTTGTCAGACACTGGCCCTGGGATATGAGGATCCTGGGGGTGGCCTTGGGGCCTCAGGAGGGGCAGGGGAGAGTCTGGGCAGCAGGCCACACAGCCCTCTGGCCCTGGGCCCCACCCTGGCCAAAACCTGGGTGGGACAAGTTGTTGGCATGGAGATTTCCAAGGAAAATAGGGAAAGAAGTGGCAGGAAGCGGTTGGGGTGAGTCAGGGGGTGTCCCCCAGGGACATGGTAGGGACAACTTTCTCCTGTCTGAGTCAGGGCTCAGGATACACCCTGGAGAGACTGCGGGCCTCCGCTTAGCCTGCAGGGTTCTGGCCGATTCTAAAAGCCAAACCCCAATTTTGGCCAAGGATGAGAGGTCCTGAGGCTGGGGTGGGCACTCTGGCCTGTGACATCACACAACGGCCCTGGCCCGTGTGGCCCGAGGTCCCATCTATGAAATAGGGACATTGCAGGGTGTGGCTGGGCTCTGGGAAGCGGGAGACACTGGTGGACTGGAGTCCTGGCAGGTGCTAGCTTTTCTCATTCCTCTGCTCTGGGGCTCGCTGGCCAGGCCTGCTGGGGGTGAGCGCAGGGCTGAGTCAGCCCAGGAGATAAGCCCTGCACAGCTGCCGGGAGACGGGGCAGGAGGCAGATGTGATAAGAGGTGTCAGGGCGGGCCAGGAACTTCTGAACTTGAGGGGTGGGAGAGCCTGGAAGGCTTCAGGGAGGAGGTACCACACGAGCCCGAACGTAGGGGCTCTGGAGATGGAAGGGGCTTCCGGGCAGAGGGACTGTGTGAGCACAGGAGAGGAGACAGTGGGGACCATGGTCCGGGAGTGTCAGGTGTGGCCAGACTGGGGAATTGTGGTGGGAGGGTGGGGCTCTGAGTCTGTGATTTCAGCCCTCAGGGGGCTCCGGCAGAGGCAAACCTCTTTTTGGGGTCCCCTCTCAGCTCTGCTGATTCAGGGCTGACTGCTGGGGAAATGCTTCTACCTGCAGCAGCAGCAGGGGCCTGACCCCAGCCCTAAATCTCCTCTTTCCCCAGTTTCCAGGGCCTCAGTTTCCCCAACCATAGCGTGAGAGGCCCCTCCACGCCAGCAGTTCTTCCGGGGGTCCTGCCACCTCCCCCAGAGCTCAGAGGTGGGCTGAGCAGAGGGGAGGCAGAGTTTCCGACGTCCCTGCCCAGCCTGGCCTGCCCAGGGAGGGGCTGGGGGCTGGGTGGTGGTGCCACAGCTGGGACATATAATTACTGTTTCCAGCCGGAGCCAGATGAGGGGGAGGGCACAGAGAGAGCTTTGCGGTGGAGGCTCCCTCACCACGGAAAATTCTGAGGCTGTTTCCCCCATTAGAGCCCTCAGAGCAGCCCAGCCAGTCCCAGGGTGCCCCCCTCCCCCGCCACAGCACTTGGCCCTGACCAGGGCCTGCCCTGGGGACATGCATCTATCTGAAGGAGTGATGCTCTGAGAGAGGACAGGACCCGCTGAGGGGACTCGCCCCACCCCACCCCCGGGCCACAGCCTCCTCTCACACCTGTGCCCTCTCTACCCCAGGCAGCCTGCCAGCAGTGGAGGTGGGGCCACTAGCTCATTGCAAGACAGTTCCACGCAGTCCTCCCCAGCCTGACTTCAGGGCCCAGAGGGTGCTACCCATTTCCTCTAGGGGCCCCACCAGGCAGGGGCCACGGTCCCTACTCCCTGGAAGCACCAATGGGTCTGGGGTCTCTGGAGTGGCTGGGATCTGCACCCTCACATCTGGAGGTGTGGGCAGAAAAATGCTGTCCATGAGACCCCACACATGGCCAGGGCCTCTCCCTGGAGACCAGAGGGGCTCCTTGTCCAGTGGAATGGTGCTCAGGGGGTCGGCGAGGGCCTGTCTTCACTCAGCCAAGGAGCTACAGTTCGGGGAGCCGGCACAGCCTGAGGCTGAAACCCCTAACTCAAAAGATGACAGAAAGGCTAGAAAATGCCCCTGCTAAAAAAGCAGTTTCAGTGCCTGAAATCTCACCATCGGGACCCCTTGAGAGGCAGATTTCTGTTCCGCGTAATGAAGGATTTTTTTCTTTTTGGTGGAGAAGGGGCTGCCTCCACGTCAATAAGCTCCCCGTCATTAGGGGTGTGCAAGTAGAAGCTCCCTGGTGGGGAGGCTGCTCTGGGGGCGCCTGGCTTGCAGGGGTGCAGTGGGGTGGCTGGGAGGTTCTGTCACTCAGGCTTTGTGCCATGCTGAGACCAGCAGCTCCGATGGCCCTCCGAGGGTCCTGCATTTAGGTTTCTGGATCCTGGCCTGGAGAGTGACTGCTCAGTGACAGGCAGGGAGGGATTCTGGGGACTTTTCTGGGACTAGAATTTGGGCCAAGGCCTCCATTTTACAGATGGGGAAACTGAGGCCCACAGAGGCGTGGAGGCTTGTCAAGGTGGCACAGTGAATATGTCAGAGCAGGACCACGCCCCCAGCCTTCTGCTTCCCAGCTCTTGATTGTTTCTGCGGCTCCAAAGTGTACACACAGTGCACAAACAACACGCACACACACACACACACACACACGTGCTCACGCGTGCTCACACGTCGGGGGAACAGGCACAGGACACAAAGCACATTCTCAAGACTGCGTGGTCCCACTCGGGCCCTGGAACCCTAGAAGGGTGGGGTAGGGGTTGCTTGGAGCCTCTTCCTTTCCCTGCCCTGGAGTAAGGAAAAGAGGGAGGGAGGGAAGGAGGAAGCCATTGCTTTGTGCATTGTTTCTTGTCAGGACTGTGAATGGCTCTGGGAGCAAATAAAGGGCTCTTTGAGACCTGTTGCTCTCTCACTCCAGGGGGTTCCTTCCCTTCTCTTCCTCCTCCCCTCTCCAGCCAGGAGCGGCACCTGTGTGGGTGTGTGACACACGGGGACATGGTGACACACTCAGAAATGCCACCAGACACAGCGACGCAAACGCACAGCACAGAGCCCACCACAGTGAGAGCTGGTGCCTGAGTCGTGGCTCTGCCCAGGGACAGCCGAGGCCGCTTGGCCAGCACCTGATCAGTTTGTCTAAATGTCCCGCAGGGGATTCAAAAGCGTGTACGTGCTCTCGTTTTGGGTTTTTCCTATTTTCCTTAAATCAAGCTTGTTAATTATGTGGTTCAAATCTGCCGTGTTCATGTTATTGGTATTTTTTGATTGCTTCATTCTGTTGGTTTTAAGGGAGGATTGCGAAAATCTTTCACTCTAATAGAGGGGTGATCCAATTCTCCTTATAATTCTGTCAATTTTTGCCTCATTAATGTTAGGCTATATTGTTCGGTGCATACAGGCTGGGGATTTTTATAATCCTTTTATAGATTTTTTAAATATTTAGTTATTGTGTAATAAACCATTCAAGGTCTATCTAACACAAAAGAGAGAAAGTCACCCCTGGACACATGTGGCCATCCACGGATACAGCAGACACCGATCTAGAGAGGCACACAGAGGCACACAAAGCTGTGACTACCCCACGTACACATGTGAACACCCATGGAGGAGTGACATGCTGAGGCCCAGGAAGGTCCCCCAGTACCGAGTGCTGAGTCCTGGAGGCACTGGGGTGGGTGGGGCAGGCCTCGATGTCTCCTGTCTCCTGTCCCTCAGGAGTGAATGCTCAGAGCCTCAGTCGGGCCTTCCTCTGGAGCCGGCTGCTCCCCGAGGGTGGGCTGCCAGGGTGCCCAGGCCGAGTCAGGGGACCTGGGCCTTGGAATTTACTCCGGTTGGCCTGCCCATGGGCGGCAGGCAGGGTTCAGAGCCCCTTGCCTGGAGAGGTCAGCCCTGGCTGCCCTAGAGCTTGAGACACATTGGCAGACATAGAGCCACCTTCTGCCAGCTCCCCCGCCCACGCTGGGAACAGCCAGGGGCGGCCTGTCAGTGTGGGGTGGCACAGACTGTTGGGCAAGGATCCTGGCTGTGCTGTCTCCTCCCTGGGCCTCGGCCTCCTCGTCTGTCATCTTACTGAGCGTTTGCACAGGCTGCCCTGTGAGGCCCGCTGAGGTTAATGACCGGCCGGTTGTCTCCCAGCTAGGAAGGCAATAAAAGAGCCTGGGTCCAGAGAGCTTCTCTGGAGCCAGGCTGCCTCTAGCAAGGGCGGGAGTTCTAGAAAATTGGCATTCTCTGCCACTTGTGTCACCGTGCAGTGAGCCTCCCTGCAGAGGTGTGTGCAGGGGATGGTAATGGTCCCCCAACCTGTGCTCACTGAGCTCCCAGACCAGGAGGAGATGAAGCGCCCACACAGGCCACAGGAGATTCCTTTCCTGGGAGATGCACAGACAGTCAACGAGGCACGGTGCAGCAGGGGCAGAAGTTAATTCCAGCCAGGGATCCAGCCAGGAAGGCTTCCAGGAGTGGGTAGAGTCTGAGCGGCGGGCTTAAATGGGTTCAGTATGCAAACAGAGCTTGTATCTCTGATGATCGTGGTTTGTACATAGCTTACGCTTTCATTCACAAAACTCTTACTGTTTTTTTTTTTTTTCTTTTTTGCCTCAATCGGTGAAATATAAGACCTGGGCCAGGCAAAACTACCTGGGGACAGGCAAACGTGTATTTTTTTCATTAACAAGTGACCACACATGGGATTGGCCCTATTTAAGCAATTGTTTTAAATTTAATGGGTTGTAAACAGCAAAATAAGTTTCGAATTTTTTACCTGCTCTTTCCTGGACATTAAGTTTCAATAGGCCTTATCTGTCGCTTCCAACTGTGAATTATCAGGTTTTTCCAGATGCGAGTAATGCAAGTGTATTGGTCGAAGGAAGGTTGGCAGTAGGTGCTGAAGCAATCCGGGGAGGCTTGCTGGTGGTGGTGTGGTGGTGGGTACTGGAGTGGAAGGTTATCGGCCCACGTGGTTCTCAGCAGCCAGCAAGAGGGTACATTCCTGAGTTCCCAGCGAAGATGGCTGTCCCCTCCCCTTCCCAAGGACTCTGAGTACTGGGCCTGGAACTGTGACCCTTCTGCTCTGCTCCGCGCCTTGGGGTAGGGGCTGGGACTCTCAGATGTGGTTAAGAACCAGAGATGAGCGGCCCTGGCCATATCTGTGAGAGGGGTGGGGGCGAGGGAGTCTCAGGCAGGAGCCACTTTAATCAGCCAGGAAGGGCTGGTTTCAGGCCCGCTGCCAGCTAGCTATTAGGGTGGCCCTGGAGAGCAGAGGAGAGAGGAGAAGGAGCTGTGAGCTTCCAAGTGCGCAGACACAGAGGCGTGGGCCTCACAGGTGTGAAGGGGCGGCCATCAGTGCCCGCCCAGCCTCGCAGCCTCACCTCCATCCAGCCCGTCCCAACCCGGCAGGCCTCGGCCAGCAGGTCAGCTACCTTCCTTCTCATCTGCACACCCCTGTGCAGGCAGGGCCCCTCCCCTTCTGCCTGTCCCCAACTCTGCACATGTGATGAGAAAGCACCAGAACAAGAGCCACAACCACTGCTTTATCCCTCCTGCCTCTGCAGCCATTTCCATGTGCTGGACTGCCCCTATTGTCTTCGAACGTCTCAGCTGCTCTGGAGAGTGGCCAGGGACAGTTATATCCATTATACAGATGGAGAAACTGAGGACCAGAGAAGGGACAGGTTACACGCTTGGTGCCAGCAAGTAGAAGAGTCAGGAATTGAACACAGGCCTTCTGCCTCCCCCGCCCACCCTTGGGGCAGAAAGAGAACAGGGCATTGCCCAGAGGGCTGGCAGACCTAAGGGGATGAAACTCTGGGGTCACCAAGAGAGGTGGACGGGAGGGGATGTGAGTCATTCCCTGTAACCCAGGGCTGCAGACAAAGGCGGGAAGAGAATTGTTCTTGTGAGATGGCCTCAGGGTGGGGCTGGGAAAACCTCTGGAGGGACGGAGGTGTGGCCCCTAACTAGGATTTTGCAAACTCCCCTGTGGCCTTGGAGATACCCTCACACCCCCAGGATGGGAGCTGGGAAGTGAGACCTCCAGCTCTGGCCTGTAGGGACGCCCACCCCTGCCTGGGAGAAGGCAGCCTAAGTGGCCATGCCTGGGCATCTTTGCAAGTGGGCCTTTGCCATGCGGTCCAGCTCCCCCGTGTGGGTGCACCTGGCCCCCGGAGCCGCGCATGGAGCAGTGTGCAGAGGCTCCCTGGTGCAGCTGCAGGAGGAGGGCTTTTGTGACCTCATGGCAGCTCCCATTCCCTTCTCTTTCCATGACTCATGTTTCTAAAAGTGGCCCAGGAGCAAGTGCAGCCAGACAGTGGTGGCGGGGCCTGTACGGCCAGCAAGAGGGAAGGCAGGGTGGGGCGGGGGCTGGGTGGGGGAAAAAGGAGAGAGAAGGAGAGACAGGAGGGCAGGACCAGAAGGAATGGGAGAGAGACACTAGACGGGGAGACAGAGGGTGGAGAAGGAGAGACAGAGGGTGGAGGCAACATGGGAGACAGGCACAAAGGAGAGACAGACAGACAGACAGACAGTGGGCGCTGGGGAGCTGGAAAAGGCCTTCCCCAGCTTGGGGATCTTTAGGTGTGGCAGGGCATGGGGTGGGCTGTTCCGGACTAGAGGGGTATGAAGCCACATCCCAAGCTGGGCCCTCCTGTCCATTTGCATCTCTCCTGGGAGTGTCCCTGGCCGTCTCCTCCCATGCCTGGATGAGCCCATTGCCTGGAGATCACGACCTTATCGTGGCCTGGATGTAGCTGGATGCGGAGGCACCAGCTCAGCCCAGGCCTCTGTGACCCCTCTGCAGAGGGGGCGGAGTCTAGGCAGGTACTCGGGCCGAGCTGGAGCATCATCAACAGGTGTGGGAGGCACCGGCCTCATTTCTACCACCTGGGCGCACGAGGGGCTGAGTGATGGGTTCTGAAGGTGTTGAGGGTCTGGCCTCTCAAGGGGTCTGGGGGGCCTGGGAGGCCTGGGACACAGTTCCTGTCTTCCCTGCTCACTGGGCCTCCCTTCCCCTCTCCCCTCCAGCTGGCGGAAGGTGTGAACTCAGGCCAGGGCCTGGGCGTCGAGATCATCGCCACCCTGCAGCTGGTGCTGTGCGTGCTGGCCACCACCGACCGCAGGCGCCGCGACCTCGGAGGCTCAGCCCCGCTGGCCATTGGCCTGTCTGTAGCCCTGGGACACCTGCTGGCGGTGAGTGGAGGCCCTCCCAGGCGGGGTTGGGGGAGAGGGCAGGGGTTGGCGCGGTGTCCTGCCATGGGCAGTGGTGGGATGCCCCAACGTGCTGTCATGGGGGGGTGGCAGGTCAGCTCTGGGGGGCTGGGGCAAGGTCCTGCCCAGGACAGGGAAGCACAGGGACCTCCTGACCAGCTTTCTGGGTCAGTGCTCCTCTCTCTCTCTGGGTCTCAGTGTCCCTTCTTGTTCTCCCTCTTTCTCCCTCCTTGTCACTCTCTCTTCCCTTCCGTGTCTCTGCCTTTGCCCTCTTGGTCCCTCACTCCCTGTCTCCTCCCCTCCCTGGTCTGTCTCCCTCGCAGATTGACTACACCGGCTGCGGCATCAACCCTGCTCGGTCCTTCGGCTCTGCGGTGATCACCCACAACTTCAGCAACCACTGGGTAAGCGACCCGTGGGCTGCCCCACCCAGTAGAGGGTGGGCGGGAGGCTTTAGGGTCACCTGGAAAGCCCGCCCTCACCCCTGTGGCGTCCTTTCTCATCGCAGAGGCTCTGAGAGACAGCCAGGGCAGAGGATGTCGGGCAACTGAGGCCTGAGATGAAGGGGCGGGGTGGGGTCCCCTGTGAGCAGTTGCAGGCCTGGCCTCTACCCCATGCTGCCAGCCCCAGGTCATCCCCACAGGGGGGTGAGACCCTGGGTCCCAATTCTGGCCCTGACACTTTCTGATTCAGTGTGACCTGGAGCAGCCTGCCCAGCCTCTTGGTGCCTCAGGTTCCTGACTTGTGAAGCGGGGACACGGTAGTACCTACCTCCCCGGGTTGCCGGGAGGAGGAAAGGACACGCTTACTTCTGTAAACTGAGCTCTGCACAAAGGAGCACTCAGTGGCTCTTAGCTCTTGTTGCCGTGCATGTGGGCGTTCTAGGCTAACCCTTACTCGGCTGGACTGTCTCTGGGGCCCTTCTAGAGCTGGGGAGGGTGAGGGTCATGGCCATCCTCAAGAAGGGGCTGGGGTCAGGTGTGGTGACTTGTGCCTGTAATCCCAGTGCTTTGGGAGGCTGAGGCTGAAGGATCACTTGAGGCCAGGAGTTCGAGACCAGCCTGGGCAACAGAGTGAGACCCCATTTCTACAAAGAATATTAATAGAAGACTTAGCCGGGTCAGAGTTAAACGAGAAAATATTAGCCAGTCATGGTGGTGTGCGCCTGTAGTCCCAGCTACTCAGGAGGCTGCGGCAGGAGGATCGCTTGCACTCAGGAATTTGAGGTTGCTGTGAGCTATGATGACTCCACTGCTCTCTAGCCTGGGTGTCACAGTGAGACCCTGTCTCAAAAGAAAAAAAAAAAAAATCAAGAAGCAGCTGGTACTGCCCATGCCTGTGCTGGGTGACACAGAGGCAAGGACACGCCCCTACCACACACCCTGGCCCGGGCCAGTTCTGGGGGGTGCTGCAGTCAGGTGCTGGGGTTGGGTCCTGCTGCCTCTGTCCCAGGCACAGGTGGGAGAGAAGCTATCACTGGGGCGGTGGGAAGAGGAAGCTCAGGGAAAGCTTCCTAGGAGCAGGGACTTTGTAGTGGAGCCTCGAGGGCCCAGTCAGACACCCTCTGAGCACACCTGCTCTGTTCCTAGATTTTCTGGGTGGGGCCGTTCATCGGGGCAGCCCTGGCCGTGCTCATCTACGACTTCATCCTGGCCCCACGCAGCAGCGACCTCATAGACCGCGTGAAGGTGTGGACCAGCGGCCAGGTGGAGGAGTACGACCTGGAGGCCGACGACATCAACTCCAGGGTGGAGATGAAGCCCAAGTAGAAGGGGTCTGGCCCAGGCATCCACGTGGGGGGCAGGGGCGGGCGGAGGGCGGGGAGGGGTGAAATCGATACTGCAGACACTCCGACCAGCCGGCCAAAGTCACTTCCCCACGATCTGCCAGTCCTGGGTGGTCGAGCCTCCTTGGGCGGTGTTTCTCTCTTTCTTTCTCTTTCTTTGTTTCCTGGCCTCAGAGCTTCCGGGGGACCAAGATTTACCAACTCACCCACTCTCTCGAAGTCACAGAGGAGGTGAAAGAGAGGGACCCACCTGCTAGTTGTCTCCTCAGAGTGTGATGGGAGGTGTGCCGGAAAGTCCCCCCTCATCCCAAAGTTGCTCACCGACTCACCTGCGCAGGTGCCTGGGTTCCACCATTGTTGCCTTGTGCCTTCGGGCGTGGCCCTCCTTCTCCAGACAGGCATCTGGCCCCGGCGGTGCTCTGAGGGGCAGGAGGTCCCAGGAGGTGCCGGGGCAGGGGCGAGTTGCAGACAAGCTTTGCCCCTTCAGGTTAGCTTGCTCCCAGGGCCCTCCCCCTCGGACTCGCTGCGTGGAATCGTCGTCCCTATCTCAGGGCCTCAGGGACCCCCATCTGGGAAGTGGTAGGATGGGGAGAGCTCTGTGGCCGGAGGCCCCCCTAGGATTCTGTAAGTGTAGACACACCCTGGGTTCTAGAAGATGTAGTCTGGACCACTGCTGCTTTTCCCACTGGCCCTGTGTTCTGTCCCCGAGGACAGAGCTGCAGCCACACCTCTGCATACGTGTGGGCACGGGTGGGCTCATGCAGACGGGCTTCAAAGCAGAGATCGACACGCAGTCCAGGCAGCTGGAAGTTTCTCTTCTCTAGGGAGAGGCTCCCAGACGGCCTGCTGGTGCAGAACGAAGGCCACTTGGAGGGAGAGAGGATACCTGTGTCACTTCAGTGAGCTTTTAGTTGGTTTCTACCTGTTATTGCGTCACATTGATCAGTACTCTTGCCAGCGTAGAGACGCAGGTCACCATTACATTGGCGTGTGTTTATTGAAGAGCACTTGGGTCACCCGAAGCCCAAAGCCTCAGCACAGAACAGCCCTGACGCAGATGAGCCCAGGAAGGCAGTGCCCCTGCCGGGCCCCGGCTGATCCTGAGCAGGGAGGAGCACGTCCCTCCCTTGGTCATGAGCTCCTGCCTGGAGGTACCTGCACAGGCTCACTGTGCCACCCCAGCCACAGCCTTCCTGCCTTACCAACCCGGAGGGCAAAGGCCATGCCTGGGCCTGATGAAGTAGCTGCTGCTGCAGCCCAAGGACAGTTCAGAGCCCCGAGTCTGCTTGGGGGCTGAATTCTCCCACTCAGCTGTCTATATAAGTCCATTCAATCCCACTGGGGCCCGAGCAGCTCTGCCACTGTGCCCTTAGCCATGATGGCAACAGAAACCAAGAGACACGATGACGCAGGTATTTAGAAGCAGTGGGACAACCAGGAGGCCCTTAACTGTCACCAACGCATGACATCTGCACACTCTCTTCTCCATTCCCTAGTAGGAACTTCTAGCCCATTTAATGGATAAGGAAACAGAGGCCCAAGGTCCCACAGCTAGAGAACGATGTGGCCATGTCTAGCACCAAGGCCATGTCTCTGCCACTCCCTGGACTGTGAGGCCGGCCTCTCTCATTCCCAGCTTCGCGGCTGCTGCCTGGGCGGCAGCCAGGGGCCAGGAGGGTGAGGGTTATGATGGAGGGGAGGGGGCAGACCCGCGCCTGCCTGGTTCTGGCTGCTGCATACCAGGACCCTGCATCTGTCTGCTCTGCATATATGTCTCTTTGGAATTGGAGTTTCATTATGTATTAAGAAAATAAAGGAAAATGACTTGTAAGGTCCTCCAGTCTTCCTGAAGTTTTTCTTCTCTGGCGCCATGTGCCACAAGGGTTCTCTGGGTCTACAAGGAGATCGGTCCCACTGCTAGGGACCCAGTCCAAGGAGGAGCCACAGCCTGCCCTCCTGCCCTCCTGCCCTCTGGCCTCAGGGCAAGGATACAGCCTCACCACAGAACCCCATCTGAGGGACACAGGGTCCTGCCCCTAGTAGGGAGACTTCTGGGACCCAGTGGGAGGACTTGGAGATCTGAGGGCAGCTGGAAGCCACAGGGTTCTGACCAGGTTCAACGGGGGTGATGGGAGCCATTTCTGGCTCTGGAGTGTGGGAGGGGTTGGGGAAAGCAGGACTGAGCATCAGGGACTGCTCAGGCCCCCCTCAGCCCACGTCTGTGACCCGTCTGCACCTGTGCTGGGTGCTGGGGCCCGTGGGCTCTGCCCCAGGGGCTCAGGGAGAAAGACTCACTCATCAGGGCCCAGTGAAGTCAGTGCTATGTCAGGCTGAGGCTGGGACTCTGGTGCCTGCCACTCACCCCTGCACACATACTTGGGGCTATTTTCTCAAAACCAGGCCAGCTCTATTGGGAAACTGAGTGCCTGATCATAGAGAAAGGGCCATGGGCAGGTTTGCACCTTCCGCTGAGGCCAGGGGCCAGGCCACCCCAGTGAAGGCTCAGTCAGTGTTCTTGGACCAGAGATTTCCTGTTTCAGTGTACACTGGGTCACTGTCTCAGTCCATGCAAACTGCCCCTGCATCTCCCAGGCTGAGGAGGGGCATGTACGAGTGAGAGAGAGACACTCAGGCTGTGGGAATAGGGAACGAGCTAGCCCACTGCATCCCAGGCCCACCGAGAGGTGTGCTGAGGCTGTCTCTCACAGCCTTTCTCGGGCTTGTCCCCTTACTTCGTTCCATCCTAGGCCTGAAGCCCTCCCAATCCCCACCATGGGCCCCAGCCACCCCCCCTCAACCCCTGTTCATCCATCCCTGCCCCCAGCCCCATTCCACCCCTATCCCATGGCAGAGCCTTCCTTAGTGTATTGCTTAGTTATAGCTTCTAGACTCCTAGAGCCAAGAGGTAGGCCTACAGAAGAGGTCAGGGAACTGATATTTTTTTTTTTTTTTTTTTTTGAGACAGAGTCTCACTCTGTTGCCCTGGCTAGAGTGAGTGCCGTGGCGTCAGCCTAGCTCACAGCAACCTCAAACTCCTGGGCTCAAGTGATCCTACTGCCCCAGCCTCCCGAGTAGCTGGGACTACAGGCATGCACCACCATGCCCGGCTAATTTTTTTTTTCTACAATATATTTTTAGTTGTCCGATTAATTTCTTTCTAATTTTAGTAGAGGCGGGGTCTTGTTCTTGCTCAGGCTGGTCTCGAACTCCGGAGCTCAAACAATCCGCCCGCCTCGGCCTCCCAGAGTGCTAGGATTACAGGCATGAGCCACCACGCCCGGCCAGGAACTGATATTTCTTGATCGATTTTACATATATTCTCTCTAATCTTTATAACATCCTTGGAAGGTAGAGATGACTGTCCCCATTTCTAGAGACTTCCAAGGCCCCTGAAGATGAAACGATTTGCCCAAGGCCACACAGCAGGTTGGTGGCAGAATTGGGGTTTCAACCTGTTCTGCCTGGCTTCAAAGATCAGGATCTTGCCACTACATAGTGCTGGCCTGTTTTGTTGTGGCCTCCACTAAGTTTAACTCTGGGCTACCCAGGAAGCCAGGCTGCACCACAGAGCAGCCACTCCTGCAAAGTGTGACGGAGAGTAGGCAGGGAGAAAGACTGACCCAGGAGCCCTCCAGCATCAGGAGAAGCCCATTCATTCTGGGGCCAACTGGACGTGGTGTCTGCTTGAGATACGTTGGCACCACAGAGCCCAAGGCTGCACATCAGCTGAGACTCCCCACTGCCCTCCAGGGCCTGTCTACCCCACTCTGTGGGAGGAACATGTCTGATGAACTTGCTCACCCACCAGAGTATATGAGAAGGAAAGGGCAATGCTGCACCATGAGGGATAATAATGCACTAAGACAGTCACAGCTACACATTAGGCTTGGGGGCAATAACTTTGGGGCCAAGCTCTCATACACCTCATCTTCCAGCCTGGGGGTTCAGTGCTCCATGCACCCCATTTCCTTGGGGCCATCCCAGACTCTGCTCATGTTCTGTACAGTTGAATACAGAGGAGAGATTTATGGGGAGTAGCTGGCATGGGGTGGGGTTCCTTGGGCGACCAGAACAGCCCTTGTCTGTTTTGTTCATCAGAATTTAATGGAGAGAGTAAATTTCCTGAAAGCTTCCAAGACTCCACGTTTGTCCCCAGGCTGTTGAACATTCAGGCAACTGTACTTGTGAGGTGCCTTGGTGGGGGGCACCTGTCACCTATCTCTGACTGGGTCCCTGTGGAGACCAGACAACAGGTCACTTCCCTCATGAGACTCCCCCATGGCCTTGGCCCTCACACTTGCACGCAGCGATGGTTCAGCCAGCCCAGAAGGTCGTGCCCTCTGCACCTGGCCCAGAAGGGAACAGGATGTAATCTAGCAGCCACTGAATCCTAGAATATTTGTCTTTCCATTAAACTCACAAGAGCAAAAAGTTGCGGTTCTGCGGTTGCCCCACCTATTCTGAGGTCCCCTAGGAACCCTGGCACAGATCGGAAGATTTTCCAAAACGTTTTACAGGAAATATCAGTCCTGTGATGAATGTTCATATCGGCCTGAGGTTGGATTTCAGCCACACGTACATGACCTGAAGTATTGGGTCAATCTCTCCAGTGTTTCTATATATTCAGGAGTCTGGGGTCCTGACAGATCCATATTTCCCATTTGATATTTCAGTTTCTCCCCAGAATCAAGGAGATCCATCTTTCCAGGCCCTGGCGAGGTGCTCAGAGGTCTACAGGGAGAAGACTCGATCTCTGAAGACACCCTGGACTAGGCTCAGTCAACCGGTCGCACACAGATGCCATGACGCTTCCATGGGCTTAGCGGCCTCTCACTCTGGCCACCATCCCAGCACTGTCACCCACCTCAAAGCTCAAAGAGGGCCCCAATAGAAGGGTATGGGTGGCTCTGGGCAGCCACTTGCCACTTGATCCCCAGGACCATGGCGCCTTTGGGGACTTGGTAGATGCAGGGAGGGTTCTCTCCCTTTTGGAGTTCCCGGGCTGGTGCTCAGTGTCCCTGGACCCTGGAAAAGCACTGGAGGAACTGGTGTCGGGCCCCACCCAGGCCATGTGCTGACCTCTTCGGATTTTTCCATCGCTCCTGTAGGTCACACCTTCACTGGTCAGAAACCTCTCAAGGAGGGGACAGTGATTAATGTTTTATGGAGGAGCCGCTGGGCATGACGCCTTGTTTTCTTTAGGTTTAGAATACAATGAGGACGATGAGTGGAATTTGCTGCCGAGCTGGGGCCCAGGACACAAAGGTGGTGATGTTTACTGTCCTTAGCGCCCAAGGCAGGTGGAGCCCTTGCTTGCGGGGCCTTCGCTAGCCCTCAAGAGCCGGTTAGTGCCCGCCAATACCTTGGGCCGATGTGCAGAGGCTGGGGTGAAGGGCAGCTGGCAAGTTCAAGGAGCTCGTCCTGCCCAGGTGATTCTACTTCATTCCACTTAAGATCACATTCTCTGCATATAGCATTTGGCTTATTTTTCTGTTCTTTCCAGCACATTGACCAGGAACAGGGTGAGGACATAATTGATCTCCAGCCATTTGGGCCAACACAGCCTCAGCCGCTCTTACAATATCAAAATACTCCTGTCTGTTTCGAACCCTCCAAGCAACACTGCCCCCAACACCGCTGTGGTCTGGCCTCCCCGGCTGCCCTGCTCCCTCTCTGGTCTCCCCCAGGCCTCCCCATAACCCAGCACTCAAAGGGCTAAAGGGGGCCTCTAGGTAGGTCCCTGTCCAGCACTACAGCTGTGGGGGTGCTCTGAGGAATTGGGGTTTTTGCCACACCAGGCTTCGCTATATTGTGCGTCACTTCTGGGTGTGAAAGAGGGGTCCGGCCAGCCAGGTTCAAGTTAGAAAAAGGAAAAGTGTGTGTGTGTGGACAACATATGCCCGTTATACCCTATTCGGGTCACTCTCCGATCTGTCCTGAGAACCTTCCGAGCTGTTCTCACTCACGGGCTAGCTGCATAGACCCAGGGCTCTGTTTGCTCTGGAACCCAGTCCCTGACCAAGTCCTGACACATCCTTAAAGTCTAGAGGAATGTCCTCTGCCCACAGTCGTGTTGTCCCTAAGAGACGGCCCCACCAGGGACTACACTGGGTTTGCCTAGAGCCGGCGCGCTCCCCGTGTGGAATTTTGGCTTGAGAGGACCAGCCTGGCTTGTGTTCGTTAAGGGGGACTTGACATACATTTCTCAATAAGCTACTAAGTAGGTGAACAGATCCCTAATCTGGAGAAGAGTATCGTCTTTTCTCACTCTGAAATATGCGGGAAGGGCTAACGGGGAGGGGGAGAGCGAGAGACAGAGAGACAGACTCATCGAATGAGTCCAATTCAAGAAAAGCGAACCCAGAGAGTTACTAAAGATGAGAAAATTCTCAAGCGCTGAAGCCCACCGTGCACAGCAGTCTTGAACATTCTGAAAGGGATCAATGCATCCCTGGGGCCTTATTTCACACGAGCTTTCTTATTTTTTTTT